GTATAACTGGGCCTAGAAGTGAAAGACTGAGTGGGAAAATGGTAATATGAAGCTCTAATACAATGGAGTTATAGCTACAGTTATTGTTAGTTATGTATAAGGGTTGACTAGATCTCCTACAAACGGATTCTACAATAATATATATGTATTGAATTCTGTTTAGGTTTTTGAATAGGGATATAATAGGGGTTAAGCACAGTGTAAGCTAGTTATTATAAGTAAAAGGACGATAGATATTTTATTAATCATATAATATTATAATAGTTTATGTTCTCTTATAGGTAAAATCCCCTCCTAGACATAATATCAATGAGTTTGTATCTACTGTAAGCGACAGAAATCACATATACAAGAGGTTACACACAGTTTGTGAAATCAGTCATTTCACGCTTACAATACATATTTGAAATAGTTCCATAGGTTGTAATGTTGCTTGAAACTAAGATATCATGTGGGTGATCTACAAAAAATATACCTTATCTACTAATAAACACACATAAAAAATAGAATATAGAACACAATTACTATTTAAATTAAAGCGACGTTTCGTTGAGTGTTATCTCAACGTTATCAAGCTCATGACGATGAATATAATATACCAATCTGATTAAAATACAGATCCATATTTCGTTTCGTTTTGTTGTATTTTCGATGGCCTACAAGACAAGTAAAACGAAATTTTGAACTATAAAAACGAAACGAAATAGGATCTGTGTTTTAACCAGATTGATAATATACAGAAGGTTTATAAGCAGAACAGTAGGACGTTAAACCCCATTTCATTTCATTTATATACAAAAACAAATAGCAACTAATTTTAACAATAATTAATAGAGAGTCATGTAAATATATAAAATATCCATTTAAAAGGAAATGAATAAAATAAACAAAACAAGTAACAAGTAATTAACCAATAATCAATAAGGGAAACCATTTCAATATATAAAATCGTTATTTAAAAGGAAATAGATCTTGTAAAATCATATACACAAAACAAGTAACAGCTAATAGCCAATACCTAATATCTACTAGTTACAGATTACGCACGGGCCACGTGGCTCACCTACCCAGGTACTCCAAGGTTATAGAATACATAATTTGTGTTTTACAATTACATATTTCGACCCCAAAAGTGTTTATAATTTTATGGTTGCGTTTAACCATCCCAGTCTGTTATTTATAATGAATTCAATCATCATTTCGTTCAACTTGAAGCATTGAAGACGACTTTACAGATATCACGGATTCCTTTAGGCCAGTGTTTGTAAATTCGGTGATTTGAGATTGTTTAATGATAAAAATTGTGAAATCTAGTGAGACCACAAGCTAAAAACGTGATGTTTCGGACAATCAAGGGCCATAATAATCAGGAAGTTACATTCCGATATGCACGAATATCGAAACGAGACAAGACGGACGGACAGGGGCGACGGCATAATACGTCCACGTGAAAATGTGGGGGTATAAAAATCACTGTTTTCTGTGGTAATGATAATAATAATACGTATTAGCGTAATTGAAACCTCATTCAGTAAATACATAGAGATTGGAGCATTCCATGTGCCATGTATATTAGACAGCGAACGGGGTCGATGTACGTGTACGTAAGTCCGTGGAATTGTTACCTGTGTCTTTCTTTTTTTATTTCTTAATGCCATTGAAACGATTTACCTGCTTTGATGTGTTGTTAGCAGACATGGCCACACGCCTCCTTTATTAAAATTATGTCATGTCATTTATAAAAGAAACGTACGATCAAAGACTTTTTTCAATGATAAAAATGAAAAACCCATCTGAAAAGAACTCCAACCGATATATAATCATATTCAATACAAACACCTAAAGGCAATTAATCGTTCAATTTATTAATTTGATTTAAAGGCATATGCTTCTTTTGAAATTAAGGGATTATCTATGCAATTTATATTGCTCACTACACACGGGGTTAGAGATAGGGTTAGGATTAGGGGTAGGATTGCACTTAGTCTTTTAATTTATTAATTTCGTCAAAAGTCATGTGTCTTTTGAATTCTAAGAATTAGCTTAACAAAAAAGGGTTAGTGCATTTAATTTTAGAATATGTTTAATTTAGCACCTATTAGACTTCAAATTAATAGCGGTTAAGTACGTACTTCACTAAATGTGATGTTAAAGATATTATTATTATTATTATTATTATTATACACTTTTATAGAGCTATCTTTCACATACGTGTTCAGATGCGCTTTACAATAAATACATGACTAGAAAATATAAAAATCAGTAAAAATAAAAAATAAATAATATCTATAGAAACAGTAAAAAAATAAATAAATATCAATAAAATCTATAAAATCAGTACAAAAATAAATAAATAACTATTAAAATCAGTAAAAAATAAATTAAAAAAAATTATAATAAACATATATATATATGATATAAATATCTATAAAATAAGGAAAAATAAATAAATGTCTATAAAATCAGTCAAACCAATAAAATATAGATATCTATGAAAACAGTAAAGTATGAATACCTATGTGTTAAATACCAATATATAAGAACAGATACACATTAGGGGGCGATTTAAAATAAATTCAACAATTAAATGCCTTTTGGAATAAAAAGGTTTTAAGTTTAAATTTAAAAGTTGTTAAAGAGGTACACGTGTTCATACTAAAAGGAAACAAATAATCACTGCATTGTGCTTGAAACGAAAACGATCGCTCTCCATAACTTGAAAGGTTGGCCCTTTTTTCCGTTATTAAAACGTTGTCACTGGATGACCGTAACGTTCGAGAAGATTTATAAATATCCAAAAGACAGGGCAAGTAAAAAGGCGCCATGTGGGTTCTCTATTAAACCTACACTAATTATTGTTATTTTTAGATTTTACATTGATTATACTTAACATCCAGGACGGATTTGTCGTTTTTTTGTTGGACAGGATCTGTTCTCGAAATTTACCCGTTACTCTAATAAAAGTGAGGGACAGATAGCGAGAGACGGGGGAGCGAAAGAAACAGTGAGAAGAGAGAGAGAGAGAGAGAGAGAGAGAGAGCGAAAAATGTCCACTCGGTTAGGAAGAACGCTATATATACAGTTCGGTTTTTATGGCAATTATTCGCTTGCGCATAAAGCCGCAGAACTCTGCGAAAACCCACAAGGATGGACAAGTGGCCATACTCCTTGTCACGTACAAGCGGGGAATGGAAACCACGCCTCTTGCCTTACTGACAGACCTTATAATCTTACAGGCACACGTTAAACCATTCGGCCAACCAATGCGTTGGTAACCTTTATGAACTGAGGTGGGGGGGGGGGGGTGGATGGCCGAATGGATAGCACGTGCGCGCTGTATCATAAGGTCTGTCATTGAGTCAACTGGCGTGGTTTCGAATCCCCAGTTGTACGTGACAAGGAATAGGGTCGCCTGTGTAACCTCGTGGGTTTTCTCCGGGTCCTCCGGTTTCCTCCCACTGCTAAAGACCCCTACGCGCAAGCGAATTATTGAAATAAAATTAAACCATGTTACTCCCGAAATGACCTAGTTTGTGTCGAGTGGACGTTAAACCCCATTTCTCTCTCTCTTAATGAACTGAGAATTTATAAGGAGATATATTGATCTTTCTTGTTCAATGACAATATTGAGTAGTCAGATTTTGACTAGTAAAATATGTTATAGACAGTAAATAATATTTAGGCCAGTAGAGCCAATGACTCCTCTTTAATACCTTATTATTCTTTACCCGTCATCAAACAGCACTTAAAAATATATCTCATTACTGTCGGCTTAGGTGACCTTAAACTTTGTCAACTTGCCATATCAATTAATTCCTAATCAAAACCCGTCAAAATGGTTCGATTGTACATTTTGACAGCGAATATATTGATCGATTAGCTCAGTTCGTTATTGCGCATACTGTACATTTGGTTTGGAATGAATGGAAGCGTTTAACAATTACTTACTTCTTCAATACAGCTGTCAAAATTATACGTATTCAATGGCTCTTTTCTTTAAAAAAGACAACTTTGTATTGTAATACAATTTACGGCCTATTGATTCACTGATATTGTGCATTTATGCCGTATATATGAAGTAACTATCCACGTTTTATTACGTATTTTATATACGTCATTCATTCATTTAAATAACACTCCCATATTCCCCTTTCTCACAATCCCATTTGCCAGCAGGTCAATTTGTTTCAAATAATAGCTATATATCGTTTGAAGTGATATGATCATGTTGGTGTCGATTTTTTCTGGTTCCGGTAAAGACAACAAAATTAAATACATGTATGTCTTACCTTTCCGCACCAAGCATGTTAATACAGACGGACATACGCCATGCAGATGTTTTGAGAGACATTAAGCTCGGGAAGCGGCATTTCATTCAACGAATCATTGTAGTTCAACTAACAAGTGTTCGTATACGTCCACATCAGTACGGGACCTCGGTTATTCGTATCATCCGAAGGAATACGCCGTTCCTTTCCAGGCCCTCCCCTGAAGAACCCCGATGAATTTAATGAACCCGGTACCTCTAGATAAGTCATTCACCATCTTACTCACGGAGCCACCACGACTGCATTATTTGCTGTAGGTTCATTAAAGTGTTTACTCCATGTGTGCTCTAATGCATTTAGGGCCGGATTTTGGCACATTTAACCAATTTCCCCAAATTTGGCCTCGCACTAGACAGGGGCCCCGTAGCTCACCAACTTAACAAAATCCAGGAAATGTGGCTGCAGGTATCAGTCGATTACTAGTTGTGAAGTAAAGCACAGTTGACTTTAAATATGAATGAATATAGGTCTAGTTAAAGTTATTCATATCCTGCAATGTATTCATATCCTGTAACTTCGGGCCTCCCAAATTGGACCCCGCATTTTGTACAACCGACCCTAGGTGCATTGCATATTCCACATTTTGCTGAAAATGTTGGCTGGTCGCAAGCTATGAATACATTATACTTGGGCTTAAAATGTACAGGGAATAAAGATCTAATTGTGAAATACCTCGCTGGACAGTAACTTGTATTGTTGATGTAGAACTCAAACTTGGACTACCACCATCAGTTGCTAGAATTTTAACTTCATGGGATGTTTGTTGATCATAGTTTAATACAGCTGCTAGAGTAACCTGTCCTGATGTAGAATCGACTTGAAATGTTGATACAACCACAGCAGCGTTGGTAGCTGAAAGAAGATAAAATAAATCATTTTAAGATATGAATGGTATACAGACTAGATCCTGGTGGTCACAGATAAAGACTTGTTCTTGGTGGTGGTCACAGATAAAGACTAGACTCCGGGGGTGGTCACAGATAAGGACTCGATCCTGGTTTTCACAGATAAAGACTATATTCTGGTTGTCATAGATAAAGACTAGGTCCTGTTGGTCACACATAAAGACTAGATCCTGGTGGTCACTGATAAAGACTATATCCCAGTGATTACAGATAAAGACTAGATCCTGGTGGTCACTGATAAAGACTATATCCCAGTGATTACAGATAAAGACTAGATTCTTGTGGTCACACACAAAGGCCAGTTCCTGGTGACAACATATAAACACTAGTCCCTGGTGGTCACACATAAAGATCAGTTCCTGGTGGTCACATATAAAGGCTTGTTCTTTGAGTCTGGTCACAGAAAGACTCAGTTCCTGTTGGTGATCATATATGTCTGTCTGTGGGTGGCACCAACTAACAACTATACGTTGCCCATTGTCGCTCCCAACATAATTTCGAATTAAACCTAAAATTGATAAAATAAAATAGTTTACCGTCGATTTGATAGGAAATCTGCCCGTTTGCTCCTGTGTCGGCGTCGGTACAAGTAATGGTTGATACAGTTGTTCCTACAGTAGAGGCTTCTGGTAAAGTTACTGATGTACTGACCGGACACACCTGCAAAAATATATCACGTATATATTAAATAAAATGTAACGTAACTACACCGACTGGGTTGATGAAGACGGAAATAATAAAGTGATCTGTGTACTGGGATGATATACCTTAAAAAGTGAATTGAGATGACATGGGTTTAACGTCCTACTGTTCTGCTCCGGCAGGATTAACGAAGACGGGCATACACCATACAGTGTGCTATGAGGGAAATTTTGTCCGAAAATCGGCGCTACTACCTACTCTTATATCGAATTTCAACTATCAAGGGATCTTTTACGTGCACGCCAATGTGTACACATGGTCTCGGTTTTTCGTCCCACCGAACGACTAGACAGTAGTTGTCCTTGTCAGGGGAAACCACGCCGGAATATCCAGAGGAATTTTCTCGGCCAACACCGGGAGCGAACCTGAGGCGACCTCCAGGCTAGCAAGCCAACGTTTTACTCCCATAGCTATCGTTGCGCCACCCGAAAAAGTAAACATATTCGGACGAAACAACGAAATATTTAACGAAGAGAGGACGGAATATTGCTGTCATGGCAACATTCATCTCTCTAGCAATGCATTTTTTTATGTTTGTAATAATTTCAAATATATTTAACAATCATCTTTGTCTTTATCTTCTAAATTACTATTATAGATGTATTATGTAAGACTTAGATAAAGAGCTGACAATTGCCGTAATGAAAATGAAATACGTTGAAAATGTCAAATTACATTCTGAGCGAAGTTATGACCGTTTGAAGAATATTGTAGCCTCGATTATTATTGTTACTGATATTGCGATGATTATGGGCTTGTCATCTCTAATTAATAATTTAGTTAACATTGAAGGTCACAATAAAGATCTGCAATAGGCTGATTTAGCTTTGCATCTTTAATATTGAAAAAACACGAACACAACTTTATGGATAACAATCACTAGCAATTTTAATAGTGCAACGTTTCAACAAGTATACTCTTGTCGTTATCAAGCACACAGTAAACGATAACATCATACAAAACACCGGGAGTAAGTATTTATTTAAGTATAAAAATGTGTTCGTGTTATTTGAATGTTATTCCGATCATAAAATGCCTTATAAACAATATATCTTTAACATGTTTGTCTTAATCTTTTCGGGGGGTTGGATGGCTGAATGGTTAGCGTGCGCACGCAGTATCATAAAGTCTGTCATTGAGTCGACTGGCGTGGTTTCGAATCCCCGGTTGTACGTGACAAGGAGTATGGTCGCCTGTCCAACCTCGTGGGTTTTCTCCGGGGCCCCCGGTTTCCTCCCACTGCTAAAGACCCCTATGCGCAAGCGAATTATTGAAATAAAATTATACCATAGGTTAGTCCCGAAATGACCTAGTTTGTGTCGAGTGGACGTTAAACCTCATTTCTCTCCCTCTCTCTTAATCTTTTCAAACTCTCTCTCTCTCTCTCTCTCTCTCTCTTAAATACATGAACAATGTACATACCGGGGCTTCATTAGTCTTCACAACACTAATATCTATATTTAATGTAGAACTGAGACTAGGACTACCACCATCAGCAGCTATAATCTTAAATTGATGAGATGTTTGTTGATCATAATTTAGTACAGACTTTAGTGTAATAATTCCTGATGTTGATCCAACTTCAAATGTGCTTGTACCTGAAAGAAAGTGAATATACCCATTTGGTGGTCATTTTATTAATATACACCGTCATCATTAGCCTAGTCGGGGCAAATCATTAGGAAGTTAAGCCCAACTTCATTTCATTTATAAATATACATGATCGTGTAACTCGACATGCAAAAATACTTCAACTAACCTGAACTAAAACCATCGACTAAATAGAAACTAACAAGGAATTAAAATGATCAATCACTTAAAATGGAATGGCATCATCTTAACGGGATGAGCACTATTACTAAACGAATTAAATTTAAGGTGAAACGAATTTCCATCACTTAAAATAAACATTCTGCGAAAATGAATTTGTATCTAGTTGAAACGAATTGGCATCCAGCGGAGTAGAATTGGCATTTGGTCAAAGCGAACAGGCATTCAGCGGAAACGAAGTAGCATTCAGTTGAAACGAATTGGCATTCAGCAGAAAAAAATAAGCAATCACTTAAACTAAGCATTTTGCGAAAATGAATTTGAATCCAGCTAAGATGCATTACCATTCAGCTAAAACAAATTAGCAGCGGCCTAAAATAAATTGACAATTCAACGAATAAATTAGCTTAAACTAACCATCTATTGTATAAGAAACTTGACCATTAGCGCCGGAATTAGAATCTGTACAGCTCACAGTAAGAACAGCAGTCCCTACAGTGGTGGATTCTTCTACACCTGTAGTCAAAGTACTGGAAGGACAATTCTGAAAAGGGAAATTATCATAGAATACAGTGTCGGGGTGCTGTCGAGCGTTCATATCCGGATTTAACCCTATTATTCAAGACGGCCACAAAATTTACAAAGAACACGTTTAAGATTCATGATGTCGTACCCCATCTCAAGTGATGAACGCAAAATGTCGCATTTCTTTATATATATTCTGTAACATGTCCATCTCAAAATTATTAATCAGCACCATTTTAATTCTTTTCTTATTTTTGCACCTTTTGTTATCTTGAATAATTTCATGTACTTATGATGGAACGGGTGTTTTTGTAAGTTTATGTAACTTTTGTCCACAATCCTTTTACTTTGTGGTAATAAAATGTGTTTAAACCAACTCGTTTAAACCAAAGCTACCAATGCAATAGACGTCCAGGACTGAAAAATGCAGGACGTTTTTTTCCGAGATCACAATAAAACAATTGATAAAGAATAGCAAAAACTGAAAGATACATACCGGGGGTTCATTGGTCTCAGCCACAGTAACTTGTATTGTTGATGTAGAACTCAAACTTGGACTACCACCATCAGAAGCTATAATTTTAACTTCATGTGATGTTTGTTGATCATAGTTTAATACAGCGGCTAGAGTAACCTGTCCTGATGTAGAATCGACTTGAAAAGTTGATACAACCACAGCAGCGTTGGTAGCTGAAAGAAGATAAAAGAAATCATTTTAAGATATGAATGGTATACAGACTAGATCCTGGTGGTCACAGATAAAGACTTGTTCTTGGTGGTGGTCACAGATAAAGACTAGACTCCGGGGGTGGTCACAGATAAGGACTCGATCCTGGTTTTCACAGATAAAGACTTGGTCCTATTGGTTCCAGATAAGATTAGATCTTGGTTGTCGCAGATAAAGACTAGATCCTGGTGGTCACAGATAAACACCAGATCCTGGTGGTCACAGATAAACACCAGATCCTGGTGGTCACAGATAAAGACTATATCCTGGTTGTCATAGATACAGACTAGGTCCTGTTGGTCACAGATAGAGACTAGATCCTGGTGGTCACTGCTAAAGACTATATCCCAGTGATTACAGATAAAGACTAGATCCTGGTGGTCACACACAAAGGCCAATCCCTGGTGACAACATATAAACACTAGTCCCTGGTGGTCACACATAAAGATCAGTTCCTGGTGGTCACATATAAAGGCTTGTTCTTTGAGTCTGGTCACAGAAAGACTCAGTTCCTGTTGGTGATCATATATGTCTGTCTGTGGGTGGCACCAACTAACAACTATACGTTGCCCATTGTCGCTCCCAACATAATTTCGAATTAACCTAAAATTGATAAAATAAAATAGTTTACCGTCGATTTGATAGGAAATCTGCCCGTTTGCTCCTGTGTCGGCGTCGGTACAAGTAATGGTTGATACAGTTGTTCCTACAGTAGAGGCTTCTGGTAAAGTTACTGATGTACTGACCGGACACACCTGCAAAAATATATCACGTATATATTAAATAAAATGTAACGTAACTACACCGACTGGGTTGATGAAGACGGAAATAATAAAGTGATCTGTGTACTGGGATGATATACCTTAAAAAGTGAATTGAGATGACATGGGTTTAACGTCCTACTGTTCTGCTCCGGCAGGATTAACGAAGACGGGCATACACCATACAGTGTGCTATGAGGGAAATTTTGTCCGAACATCGGCGCTACAACCTACTCTTATATCGAATTTCAACTATCAAGGGATCTTTTACGTGCACGCCAATGTGTACACATGGTCTCGGTTTTTCGTCCCACCGAACGACTAGACAGTAGTTGTCCTTGTCAGGGGAAACCACGCCCGAATATCCAGAGGAATTTTCTCGGCCAACACCGGGAGCGAACCTGAGGCGACCTCCAGGCTAGCAAGCCAATGTTTTACTCACATAGCTATCGTTGCGCCACCCGAAAAAGTAAACATATTCGGACGAAACAACGAAATATTTAACGAAGAGAGGACGGAATATTGCTGTCATGGCAACATTCATCTCTCTAGCAATGCATTTTTTTATGTTTGTAATAATTTCAAATATATTTAACAATAATCTTTGTCTTTATCTTCTAAATTACTATTAAATATGTATTATGTAAGACTTAGATAAAGAGCTGACAATTGCCGTAATGAAAATGAAATACGTTGAAAATGCAGGACGTTTTTTTCCGAGATCACAATAAAACAATTGATAAAGAATAGCAAAAACTGAAAGATACATACCGGGGGTTCATTGGTCTCAGCCACAGTAACTTGTATTGTTGATGTAGAACTCAAACTTGGACTACCACCATCAGAAGCTAGAATTTTAACTTCATGTGATGTTTGTTGATCATAGTTTAATACAGCGGCTAGAGTAACCTGTCCTGATGTAGAATCGACTTGAAAAGTTGATGCAACCACAACAGCGTTGGTAGCTGAAAGTTTCCACATGGTATAATTACAGAGAAAAGAAATGGAGTTAACCGGCCTACTTTCCTTCACACCAATTCATTGAGGAGAGAGAGAGAGAGAGAGAGAGAGAGAGAGAGAGAGAGAGAGAGAGAGAAAGAGAGATTGTACCCTATTGGAAATCAAATTTAGTGGTTAATTACCATAATATCAACAAGATTGTTCAACAAGAGTGATCAGCAAGATTGTTGACTCGTGCAGGAACTTCACAACGTCTCGGATAAGAAGTAGTATCGGGTGTTTCAGAAAGATCAAATAAACCAAGCTTCGCGCTCGTCACTACCTAGGCTAGAACAAAACTTAACCGACAAAGGCCACCGATCCTTATTGTATGTAAAGCTATTAGACCGCCCCACCCCCTCAAGAAATTCAAATTAGTGAAAATACACTGTCTCTTGCTCTATAGCTAAATCGACCCCCTCCCCACTTCCCAAAAATATAAGTGGTATAAAACGTGTTCGAATTAGTGACCAAACACTGTCTATTGCACTACTCATAGCTAGATCGATCGAGGGATCTTCCCCCCAATCCCCACCTCCTCCCACCTCTGCAAAAATATAAGTGGTAAATACATGTGCTCGAATTAATGTCCATACACTGTCTTGCACTACCTATAGCTAATCGATCAAGAGACCCCCCCCCCCCGCCCTCAATCTCCAGGAAAATAGAAGCGGTATAAAATGTGTTCGAATTTTACTGACACCAACTTGGAATAATTTTAAGTTTTAAATAACGCGATGCTAAAAATATATGTTTAATGTTTAGTTGGTGTGAAAACAAAGTGAAAGAACAATTTACCGTCCATTTGGTAAGTAATCTGTCCCTTGGCCCCTGCGTTATTATCTGTACAAGTAATGGTTGATACATTTGTTCCTACTGTAGAGGTGTCTGGTAAAGTTACTGATGTACTGACAGGACACACCTACAAAAATATAAAACAGAGGAAAATAAACTCTATAGATATAGACACCAAGCACCGGGTTTTCCCATTCAATATGTTTACCGTGAACACAACTTTCCAGATCCCTCCTTTCTCCCCCAAAATGTCCCAGATTCCTGACAAAATACCCAGGCATTAGATAAACAGCTGGTCGTTCTTGCTAACATAGTTTAAATATAGATAATGGAAAAATATACCATTGTTACGACAATAAACGAAGTCGATTCTCCATTTTAACCGTATTCAATTACCTGTACATACATCATGTAAGAGATAAATCGGCCTATTGCATGTCTTTCTTTTGGCTTCAAATGTTATATAAATTTTTAATTAGACATTAATCAACATGACAAGACCACAATTAACGCTCGATGTCATCGGATGGCTCCGATTTGAAGTAGATTAGAAAGATTTGACTATTTAATGATTAATTTAAAAATGGTTAACAACGGTAGTAATGACAATTGAGGCTAGAATTTGTCAGGAATTTTCAACATATTCCCTTTTCATTGTCTATGTTTTAACTATTACAACATGAACTGTCGGCTCTTTAACTAATCTTACATAATGCGCCTTTAATAGCCATCTGGGAGTTGATTATGGATTTGAAGCCAGATAAAAAGACATGTTACAACAAAAATTGGTTAGCTGTGTGACCTCCTAATATACGAAAATGGTCTAGAAACAGCAATCATACACTGTCGTGTGAACGACACTCCAGTTACTGGGTAGAAAATATCCTTAGTTCGAAAATAACAAACATCCCTGACGTATAGATTTATGTTACCGGTGCGTCATTCGTTTCTATAACAGTAACTTGTATTGTTGATGTAAAACTCAGCTTTGGACTACCACCATCAGTTGCTAGAATTTTAACTTCATGTGATGTTTGTTGATCAAAGTTTAATACAGCGGCTAGAGTAACCTGTCCTGATGTAGAATCGACTTGAAATGTTGATGCAACCACAGCAGCGTTGGTACCTGAAAGTTTCCATATGGTATAATTACAGAGAAAAGAAATTGAGTTAACAGGCCTACTTTTCTGCACCAATTTATTGGAGAGACAGAGGGGGGAGAGGGAGAGGGAGAGGGAGGAGGAGATAGAGAGAGAGACGGGGGAGCAGTGGGGGGGGGAACCAGAGGAGCCAACGAGGTTAGACAGACCTTATGATACAACGCAAACGCTAATCACTCGCTCCCACCCCACACCCCATTTCATGGAGCGATAGGGGTATCAAACGAAGGTCTTCGTGTCCAGTTGGTGCTATAAAGCTATAAAAGATACCTCTAATTATTAGTGGTAATTTTGTAAAATATAAAGCATATAATTTATGATTTTAAGATGTTATTTATTTTGTTTTATATGTTTGTGTTAAACTAGTTAATCAATCTAACTACCATACTGACAAACAAGTTGCGACAGACAATGACTAGAATATACCCCCTTTTCACTGTTGATGCACAGCCATCAGTGGCATATCAGTTAAGGGCTCCATGCAAGATTAATGCTGGTCCTGGGTGTAGCAATGCAAGATAAATTTGTTCACCTAGACGGACAACAGTGGGTCAATGTTCTGGCAAATGTGATAAACCTGGTTTACCAAAACGTTGTTGTTTACCTGTGAAGGCGTACATTGTAGCATAAACCTATTTTAATTGTATTTGGATTCCCCAAGATCAAGTGTGTTTAGAACAGCGGAATATTTTTTCAGTCCCAAAGAGGGGGTAGGGGTGGGGGTTTGGGTGGGGGCAATCCTGGCAATGACTCGTTGAGGCCGAACCAAATAGAAAGCAACTCTGTGTACACAAAATGATTTAGTCACCAAAACTTTTAGAGACATAATAAAAACTCACTGTCCATCGCGAAAGAAACTTGTTTATTCACTCCACTATCAGCGTCAGTACAAGTAATCGTGGCCACGGCAGCACCAACACCAGAACTTTCCTGTAAGTCTACAGCAGAGCTATTAGAACATACCTATAGAAAGCCAAAACAATATTACACGGCAATGTTAGCTGACCGTGATTCAAACATCCAGTCATCAATTTTTCATCAGTCTAATCATATGTTATCCAATCTTAATAAACAAGGGGGGGGGGGGCTTGGGGGCCGAATGGTTTAACGCGTGCGCTTTAGATGATACGTTCTGTCATGGAGTCAAGTGGTGTGGTCTTAATACCCAGCTGGTACACGACCAGGAGCAGTGTCGCCTGTCCAACATCGTGGGTTTTCTCAGGGTACTCTGCTAATTAAAGACCCCTACGTGCAAGCGAATTATTGAATTAAAATTGTACCAGGGGGGGGGGCGTTAATTCTCTACATTTAAGTTTATAGTTTAAGTACTGGTTAGAGTATAATGCTGAATGCTGGATGCAGGACAGAGAGAGTGGGCTTGGGAGGGGATAGCTACCTATGTAATAGCTTTTGTGTTGTATTCCAATTCACAAATACCACTTACCGGAGCGTTGTCATTCTCATCTTTTATGTTTATAGTTAAACTCGCGGTACTGGTGAACGATGTTGTTGGATCCAGATCGTACGCCAACAATGTTAAAACGTAACTACTTTTCGTCTCATAGTCCAGCTCTGTATTTACATACATCGTACAGGTTACACCATCCAACAGCCACTTGCTAGAGTCATCTGAAATAAATAAATATATATCCTAAAATGGTGTGACACAAGGATATGCCTTGGGGCCTTTGTTCATCAATCTAAATCGGTATTTACATACATCGTGCAGGTTACAGCGTCCAAAAGCCAGTTGTTAGAATCATCTGGAATGAGTAAATTTATATCCTAAAATGGTGTGACACGGGGATATGTTTAATAGCCAGTTGTTAAAATCGTCTGGAATAAATAAATATTAAAAAAGAATATCCTAAAATTGGATGACACATGGGTAGGTTTTGTGCCCTTATTTTGTACTTTTGCTTATTAAAAGGACATGTTTTTAAAGATAAATACGAAAAAGGGCATTTAAAACGTTATAAATGGTGTACCGCAAGGTTCAATTTTTTGGTCATTTAGTATATCAGATATTGTTAATCTTCTTCTGTTTAAGGTGGTAACGCAGACGATTCGTCTTATTTGTTTATGCTTAGCGCACGCGCAGGGTTCTTTACTGTGGGGGGAAACCGGAGTACCCGAGGTAAACCCCCGAGGTTAATAAGGCGAACCAATCTCAAACCACATACGCTCACACCAGGGATTGAAATCACCATCGCAAACCAGAGGTGATCCGCCGGCAAGAGCACCAAGCGCGGCATTCTAGACCACTAGGTTAAACTAGCCAAAACCCAGCTTTTAACTTTAACCGATTCCTTTCATTGTCACAGAATGATTTGTTGGTATAAACTGTGTACCATAAGGTTCAATTTTCGGGTCATTAAATATTTATATATCATTACAGAATGATTTATTGGCCTACCTGAAGTTTCCCATCGTACCCTGGTTTGTCCTGATAATTCCAGGGCGGAGTCCTTATCAGTGACAGTACAAATACTATACACGGCACCAAATGGTTTATTCTCGCTGACTTCAATGGTTGCGGGCAAACCAGCGATTAGTGGGGCGTTGTCGTTGATATTGGTAATACGTATAGCTACTGTTACCGTGGAAATAAATGCCATAGTACTATCATCAGTGGCAGTTATTCGTACCTAAAACAGTGGAAATAAAAATTAATCGCCCATAGACGTGTTACCTGCAGACAAGTCTTGGTTCAAAGCGAGGAATAAAGAACGGATGGACTAAACATAAAAATAAATTGTATAATAACACAGGTAAGTTATGTAAAACAACCATATAATAACAAAAGGGACACGTTTAAGTTATAAAATCAACCAAATACTAACAAAAGGCGACACGGATAAGTTATGTAAAACAACCAAATAATAACAAAAGGAGACACGGATAAGTTATGTAACACAACCATGTCATAAAAATAGGCGACACGGATAAGTTATTTAAAACAACCGAATAATAACAACAGGCGACACGGATAA